GTGGCTGCGTCTACCCAGGTTGCTGCTGCCTGCTCCTGTCGCTCCCTCACTCACCCGACCCTCCTGTGGCACCACCGCCTAGGTCACCCTGCGCTCCCGCGTCTGCGTCACATGTCTCAGCATGGCCTCGTCCTTGGTCTCCCAGGTTCGCTCCCCGCGTTTCCCTCCTCTCCAGCCCCACCTTGCACGCCTTGTGTCGAGGGTCGGCTTCGCCGTGCCCCTCACTCCTCCTCGTTTCCCCCCACCGCCGCGCCGCTGCAGACCCTGCACCTGGACGTCTGGGGCCCCGCCCCCGTCCCTGGGCCGCGTCGAGAGCGCTACTTCCTTGTGCTTGTCGACGACTTCACTCGTTACACCACAGTCTTTCCCCTGGAGCGCAAGGCCGACGTGCCTGGCGCTCTCATCCCCTGGCTTGTCTCTGCGCGTGTCCACCGCGGTCTCCCTGTCTTGCGTCTTCACTCAGACCGTGGTGGCGAGTTTGCCTCCGGTGTCCTTGGTCGCTTTTGTCGTGCGGAGGGCATCACCCAGACGTTCACCCTACCGGACTCCCCACAGCAGAATGGGGTCGCTGAGCGACGCATCGGTTTGGTCATGGAGGTCGCTCGCACCTCCATGATCCATGCCGGTGCACCCCATTTTCTGTGGCCGTTCGCTGTGCGCTACGCTTCCCACCAGCTTAACCTATGGCCGCACCCTCATCAGCCGCAGGTTTCGCCGACCCGTCTTTGGACTGGGTCCCCTGGTGACGCGTCTGCGTTCCACGTCTGGGGCTGCCTTGCTCACGTCCGTGCCTCCGGCACGGACAAGCTCACTCCCCGCACCCTTCCCTGCGTCTTCCTCGGTTTTCCCCTTGACGCGTCCGACTGGCACTTTTACCACCCGCCGTCTCACCGCTTCTTTCACTCTCGTGACGTCACCTTTGACGAGTCCGCCTCCTACTACCGCCGCTTTCCCCACCGTGATCCCCCGGTTACCCCCCCCCTGTTCCTGGTCACCCCTTCCCCGGTAGTCCCTGCCCCTCCTCCTCCTCCTCCCCGTCCCGCCCCCTCTGGTGTGTCCCACGTCACCCCCCTTCCGTCCGTGGACCCGGTTGAGGAGTCTTCTGCCTCTGGTGGCCCTCCTGTGCAGTCCTCGCCGGCCGCCCCTCCCCAGGTGTCCCCTCCCCAGTCCCCTCCTCCACCGCCCCTACCGCTGCTTCAACCGCCGCCGCCGCCGCCGCCGTCGCCTCCGCCGCCGTCGCCGCCGCCGTCGCAGCCCCCGTTCGCCGACTCTGGGGGTGCTCGTCCCGGTCGCCCTGGGGGTGGTCCCTCTGGGGGTGCTGGTGTGGAGAGTGCCGGTGGTCGCCGAGGAGCAGCTTGCGGTCCAGGTGTCGCCGTTGTGCCGCCGCAGCAGCGGTCCCCGCCGGTGTCCGCCCTTCGCCTGCTCGGCCTTCCGTCCCCCGACCCTGCGTCGGTTCCTCCTCTTCCTGTCTACGGCCCTGTTTTCCCTCCGCCGGACTCGTCCCCGGCTCGTCTCCCCCCTCGTTCCCCTCCTGTGTCCCCTCCCCTGTCTCCTGACCCGACTCCTCCGTCGCACGTCTGGTCTCACCGCCCCTCCGGTGCTCGTCCTGCCTCGCCTGTCTTGCGCTCCCACCCTATGTTGCTTCGTTCCCACGCGTCTCGTCCTCCCCTTCTCCCGTCGCCTCCTCCGTCCTCCCTTGTTGTTGCGCCCCCCCCGCTGTCCGACTACCTTCGTGCCACTCGTCCTCTCATCCCTCGGGTCCTTGCCTCTCTCGTTACTGACCCGTCTGTTCCGGTCTCGTGCCTTGACGCTCTTGTCGCTGCTGTCGCTGACTTCGCCTCTACCCGCCGCCTTGACTACGCCACAGCTCTGGTCTCTGACCCTGCCTGTCCTCCGTCTGTCGGGGGTGCTCCTGCCCTTGGCAGTGACGTCCTGGAGGACCGCCAGTTCGAGCTTGCTTTCCTGTCTGAGGCTGCTCCCCATCTCTGTTCCATGCTGCTAGTCCCTGAGGGTGACCCAGACGCTTTCGACATCCCGACCCCTCGCACTTACGCTGAGGCCACTTCGGGACCCTGGGCCTCACAGTGGATAGCTGCCATGGAGCAGGAGATGGCATCTTGGAGATCCACCGGCACCTTCGTCGACGCAGTTCCCCCACCTGGGGTGAACGTAGTCGATGGCCGCTGGCTCTTCAAGGTGAAGCGCCCTCCTGGAGAGCCGCCTGTCTTCAAGGCGCGCTATGTTGCTAGAGGCTTCAGTCAGCGCGAGGGCGTGGACTTCTTCCAGACTTTCGCTTCGACCCCGAAGATGACTACTCTTCGGGTTCTGTTACACGTAGCTGCTCAGCGTGACTACGAGCTTCACTCCCTCGACTTCTCCACTGCCTTCCTTCAGGGCAGCCTACACGAGCAGGTCTACCTGCGTCGCCCTCCGGGCTTTACTGGCACCTTCCCTCCTGGGACCCAGTGGCTCCTGCGGCGCCCCGTCTACGGCCTGCGTCAGGCTCCCCGTGAGTGGCACGACACTCTTCGTGCTACCCTTGCTGACCTGCAGTTCTTTCCGTCTTCCGCAGACCCTTCACTCTTCGTTCGTGCTGGCCAGACTCCGTTCTACATCCTTGTTTACGTCGACGACCTGGTCTTTGCCACGGCAGACAGGGACGCACTGGCCTCTGTGAAGGCAGAGCTGCTGAAGAGACACACCTGCACTGACCTTCGAGAACTGCGCCGTTACCTTGGCTTGCAGATCTCCAGGGACAGAGCTGCGCGCACCATCACCCTGACTCAGTCACACTTGGTGCGCCAGGTCCTTCAGAGGTTCAGCCTTCAGTTCTCCTCTGCACAGCCCACTCCTCTACCTGTAGACCACAGACTCTCCGCTCCAGTGTTTGAGGAGTTGGTAGAGCCCAGTGGCCCCTACGCAGAGCTGGTGGGTTGCCTCATGTACCTGATGACTTGCACTCGCCCAGATCTCGCATACCCTCTCAGCATCCTGGCGCGCTTTGTGGCCACAGGCAGACACCGACCGCAGCACTGGTCTGCCGCTAAGAGGGTTCTGCGTTATCTTGCTAGTACATCGGGCATGGGGTTAGTGCTTGGAGGACGCAGGCCAGTGGTCTCCACTGGACACACAGACGCTTCGTGGGCAGACGACGCTGAGACACTCAGGTCTACCCAGGGCTACTGCTTCAGCCTTGGCTCAGGTGCCGTCTCGTGGAGAGCTACTCGCTCCTCGTCTGTTGCACAGTCCACCTGTGAGGCTGAGATCTACGCTGGTGCCATGGCGGCACAGGAGCTCCGCTTGCTGACCTTCTTGCTCACCGACTTAGGTGAGCGGCCTAGCTCTGCCCCGGTCCTGTTCGCTGACAACCGGGCCATGATCCTCCTGTGTCAGGAGCCTCGACTCGAGGGCAGAGCGAAGCACATTCAGCTGCGGTACTTCCTCCTGCGTGAGCTACAGCAGCGACGTCAGGCTCGCGTAGTACACTTGGCCTCAGGTGCCAACACAGCTGATATCTTTACGAAGGCGCTTGCGCCTAAAGATCATCAGCGGCACTGTGTACAGCTTGGTCTAGTTCCTGTCGCTTCTCACTTGCTAGGACCTTGACTTGTACTGTCCTTTATATGTATACTCAGACTGGACTTGTGTCCTCTCCCAGTGGCTGGACTAGTAGTGCCGCCCTGTTCTTGTTCTTGCCTTGTCTGTACTCCTTCTGACTGGTCTCTCAGACCCTTGTCTCAGAGGTTGGACTAGTAGTGCCGCCCTGAGCTGCTTGTTTAGGGTATTCCCCTATGCAATCTAGGGGGTGTGTCAAACATCTGCATTTGTCATGTTTGTATAGACTGTAGAGGGTTACCTCTTAGAGGGTACAATACTTAGGTATACTTGTGTGTACTCTCACTTGACAATCTATTCAATTCTCATTTCTGATAAGTAGTGCCATCTTGAGCTGTGTGTTTCTTGCTTAGCATCACCCCTTCTCTAGCCTATGGGGTGTGTCAACTTATACATATGCTGTATGAAGAAGTTATAGGCTAGCCTAGGTGTGTCCTTCTAGTGAGTACAACCCCAACATGTATATGTTCTAGGTTTCTCACACTAGTCATTATTCTTGCACGCTAACAGGCAGTGCGTAGTCCAGCATCACGCTCGCGGCTGGCGTGCGGGCGGCAGGTCTAGCGGCACCACATGCGTCGTGCGGCCGGCTGCAGCCCGACGACGCTGCCACGACATCCTTACGACGCCGCCACAACGTGGCGTCGATGTCGCAGCGGTACGTTGACGCGGCGACGGCAAGTTGACGGCACCGTCACGCCGCCACGGCTTGACGTCGATGATGCCGCCACGGCTGGACGCCATGACGGCGAGACGCCACGGCATCGCGTCGAGACGGCCACGGCATGACGCGGCCAGCGGCACGACGACGCCGCCACAGCAGCACGACGCGGCCGCCATGGCAGCGCGAGAGGGAGAGGAGTGCACGGCGGAAGGGCAACTTCTCTGATACCAAGTTAAAATATGCTAGGATCTAAGTAGGAGGGAAGCCATAGAAATGGCGTGAGGGTTTAGCAAGGAGAAAGTTGGAGAAAAGAGCATGGAGAATAGAAGAGAGGCATACAAGGAGGGGGGTTGTACCCTCTACAGTTAGTTGCAAGAACACATAGCAAGCCTACCAATCATATAACAAAATATATAATTGAACAATATTGTTTGATTATTGTTGTATGATTATTGTTTTCTATTTGTCAAAACGTACGCACGTGGCATCTGAAACAACTTTTGCGACATTTGGCACATGCACCCAAGTTTTACGGGATGATAATGAGTCTGACGCGAGCTTAGGGGGTTTTCCTACAAGACTGTTCAGTACTAGCAAACGCGAAATCGAGTCTGCAACACGATACAGAGAGGTCCGAGGGCTAAAACGCAAAATCCCGTGCGGTTCAAAATTGTAGCTCGCGAAGTTGGTTTCATGGTACTGAACTGAACGCGCTGATATCGGTTGTAGCGATAAATAACATAGCAGAATACAAGCAAGGGGAACGAAATTCAATTGCAATGCCTAAAAAAAGGGCCAAAACTTGAGATCCGTTCCTCACCCTCACTCTACTCCTGCATTCCCTGAGCAGCAACTGTCCGCTCTTCAAACAGATACCCGTCAATCTCACTAACAGAGTGACACCGCACATGCTGCCTCCCCTCCTGCTGCCTCCACCCATTCTTCCTAAATGCCCCTGCAGCAGGGGACCGCTTCCCCACCCACCTGGGGCTCGGGCAAAACGCAGTTCTTGGTGCACACGCTACTGCCGAGGCCGGTGGGAGTGTGGCTGGGCTCCTGAAATTGTTGCCGGCTCCAGGGGGGGTAGTGCCACCTGCAGCACCAGCGCCACCGCCACAGCCGCCGCTGAGGCTGGCGCTGATGCTGTTGCCTTCAGCCGCACAGATGCTGATGCTCCTCCTGCAGATGTGCTGACTGCGCGGCGGTGGCACGGGGACTATTGCTGCAGGAGAGGAGGCAGGGGCGGCTGTAGACCAAGGCCCAGCGACTGAAGATGACGAGGGGGATGCCATGGTGCTTCTGCTGCGCCGCACAGCCGCAGCCGCCCTGCTTCCCAGCCTGGGACTGGGAGCTCCGCTTAAAGCCGCGCTTATCAGGAGAGGGCTGCAAGGTGAGCTTATCATTACGCGGGTGGCGCAAGGGTTGTCGCTAACTGATTGCGAGCGGGAAAAGCGCTGACCCTGCTGCTGCTGCGACTGAGGGTGCTGCTGCTTCTGGTGCTGATGCTGCTGCGCGTCTTGGGGCCTGGAGATTGTGGCTTCTATAGCGTTGTCCCCAAATGGCGGGGATGGGTGTACCTTTATCTCGTCCTCGTCACTGAAGGCCTCGAAAAGACTTCCATCGATTTCTCCAATTGAGTGTCGCTTGTGGTGTCGCTGGTTTACGATTGCCATCTTTTTGTTGCGGAGGGGACTCTTGCAAGTGTAGCTGGAGTACATTCCATCCCCGTTTGTAGCCACATTGGTGAAAACCGTCCCACCGTCAACTCCGTCGTCGCTCTCCCCATTCTCATGAATCGCGCGTCCAACCGGCCCATCTTCGAACATTGCTCCGGGGATCTCGCTGAATAGGCCCTGACTGCGGCTCCGTTGCACCGAGATTTTTGCGCGGTTCTGCCCGATTGAGCTCGATCTTGCGGAGTGGGGTAAAACATTCAAGCTGCCCCAACCAGCCCGCGAAGTGGCGGAAAAAACATCAGCCTGGTTGGGGCTGGTATCAGCAGCGTCCGCGTTAAGAACATCCCATCCCGATTCGGTAAAAGGGCCATACGGCGACGCCGATAATTCTTCACCGCTACATATCTGACGAAATCTAACCGTGCTGCTACCTCGGCAGCTTTCGGGACCACCGTTTCCGCCTATCTGTTTGAAAGAACCCCTCCGCTCGCCACGATCCGCCGGCGATGCGGCGAATCGTCCGCCACGCCACCTGCGCGCCACCGCGCTGTCAGCGGTTTGCGGCCGACTAGGCACGTTGCTTTTGCTCGCGGCGCCGCTACTAATGTTCGCCCAATTGGTCGGCATGGCGGGCAGCGGCGGCGATTTGGGTGGGAAGATTTCCCGGGGTCCGCTGCACGAAGCGCCGCGGCGTGATCGGTAGCGGGACGGGAGAACTACCGTTGGCGGAACGAAGTCGCATTCCGCGGACTCTAAAAATCCCCTCTGCTGCTCGCTTTGTTGATTAGCCAGATCCATCATCCTCGCGGAGCCAAAATCCGCCGGCGGCGGCGAAGCGTCACGGTTCGGAGAAGTGAGCGAAAGGAAGTCGGACGGTGCGCTATTTCGCGACTTCTCCGGCGATGGTGAGAAATCGCGAGCGTCAATTTGAAGCACCTCGGCCGCGGCGGCGTTCTCACGCTCGTTCGGAGATTTCCGAACTTCGGCCCGCGACCGTCGTTCCTCCATTCGCGGGCCTGAATGCGAATTGTGCGGGACCTCGTCGAGGCGCGACTGTGGGACGTCCTTCAAGTTGAGATAAGCTATCGCCGAGTCTGCATCGGCGTCGCGGGGAATCTCCAGCGGAGTGATCGCCATCCGTTCCGTTATGTGCGGAAATTTCCAGCTGTTAGTAACAGAAGGAGTGGAAGTCACCGGGTCGGCGAAAGCGGCGATCGGGCTGGCGAAAGCGGCGATTGCGGTAACTGTGGTTGGCGTAAAATACTGTGACGTAACGCAGCTCGACGCCATAGCACAAGGTCTTGGACTGCTGTTAGAGAGCCCCACTAGCTGGTCGTACCAGCCGGTTGTGCGCGTTGGAAGCAACGAGTCCGCCTCTGACGACACGTTGCTGCGCGCTGGCGTACGACGAGCAGCGGAAGATGGCGACGAGCTTGATGAAATGGAGGATTGCGGAGAATGGTGAGGGTCGGTACCATGAATCGCTGTGGGATTTTTACGGCGAGGGCTAAAACGTACTGTACGGTAGGGGAGGAATGAACGGGAGGAGGGGAACACTGACGAAAGGAGGAGGTGACAAACACTGACGAATGATCGTTTACGGTACATTACACTGCAGGAGGAGGAGGTGCATTTTGTAGCGTTGACGGGAGGAGGTGAGATAACGGACGGCGATGAGTCACGCCAGGACGAGGGGTGCAGCACCAGTGTCAAAAATATGCGGGAGAGCGTTGGCCATTGGGCAAGATGTCCTTCCTCCTGTCCTGACAAGTGCTTACCTTAGGGTTTTTGCCCACACGGCAGATCCGGGTACCCCTCAAGGGAAACCGGGATCTCACGGGTGTACCTTAAAAGTCCCACGTCACCATCCGGATAGGAACGAGAACAACACGTCAGATCAAGGAGATTTTTGTAGCATCGAAATGTTCCAGTTCAAAGGTTCTGTGAAAACAACACACAGACTTTACTTATGTTTTTTGCAGGGGAGGGAAAGGAGACATGGGGTTAGGGCACGGGGGAAAAGTAGGGGGGACAGTCATTGGGGGGCGGGGGTAGAGAGGGCTGGTTGTGCTTAGATATTTGTTGCCAGAGCCTAACCCGTCAAATCAGGGTATTTCGTAAAACGAACACGTCACTTCACGGGTTCTGCTAAAAACGAGCCCGTCAGAATCCGGCTCCATAGAAAACGAACACGTCCGAATCCGGAATGGGACGAAAAATCACCCGCTATTTTGCCAAAATCCGATGAAAATTAAGCCCTGGTCCTGACTCCTGACTCGCCTGGTGCTCAGGTCCCAAGGGTTGACCCTGCTCAAGTACAATACACAGGGTGTACACCTAAGGCCCAGCTCAATACGTAGCCCAATCAGAAACAATCGCCCATTAGCGTTGGCACACGGGCAACGGCCCACTCAACGTGGGCCGTGAACAGAGCCAGCAGTGCAGCGTTATCATGACAGCGGTGACGAACATGCGGCACATGACGAAAGATGTGCGCCGCAACCTTTTTCGCCACAAACTTCCAGCCCAGCTCAGAATAGCGCTCCGGCGAAGCTCAGCGAGCCTTTCGTTGAGCTCGCAAATGTACGCACGCCTTGCTGGGTTTGTTTGTGGCTTGAGTATCGCCGCATAAAACCGAACGCTGACTTGGCAGCGAAATGGAGTCGCGATGTCCTGATGCAAGGGGTCGTTCTCAACATCCGACAACCAACCAAGGAACAAACTCGAAAACAATTTCCCACAATCCACGCAGCACTTAGTTTTGCGACACGAACCTTCAATTCGTAATGTCCTAAATCTTTAGAACATGCCTCTAATACTTGGAACTGAAATGCGACTCCAAACCCTCGCTACATTTCACTGAGTATAAAAGGGAGCAAACCAGACCAGAGAAACTCACTCAGCATCTCACCCGCCAACCACCACTCTGGTGCTACACCAGAGAAACTCGCTCTTGCTTGAAAGTGCCGAGATTTAACATAGGGTAACTAAGTGAACAATGGCTCGCCAAAATATGCCACTCAAACCTACCCCGCAAAACATCAAAACGGTAACCTTCATGCCCGTGCGAAAGGCCCACATGCTCGTGACGATGCCGTGCGAAACCCCTGCGCGTTTTTGTCTACCAGCACCCTGAAAAGTTGTGTTCCTCTGTCAGGCTCAAGGTGTATAAGAAAGATCCGGGGAAGCCCCAGGCTTTCTTGTCCTGTTATGGCCCAAAGGCTTCCGCATCTTTATTGAAACATTTATGTTGACTCGACTGAGAACAGAGCAGTTGCAGCAACTCGGCCTGAACTAAACCCTGTGTGACCTAGCTTACGTTGCATGTGCATCCGCCGCACTGCGTTGAGCTATACACTGACAAATTCGAGGAGAAATTTTCTTTACTCTCAGCGAAACCGGAAAGTATGTTTTGCCGTCCGTTGTCCCCAGCAGCACGCGCTGACGAGCAGATTTTCCCGTCCATTTGCAAATCGCGCTGCAGTGGATTCATTTCGGATTTGCTGCTGCCAGTCCCCCGTTGACCAATCAGAAGGAGAAATGAAGCAACTCTTGGATAAACGACAAGCTTACGGTCAGGAAACTTCATTTGCGTGTACATGCACATCCATCCATCCGTTCCCCCCAGCCCACCTTCATCCCCCTCCACAGATCCCCCCCGACCCCCCCCCCCCCCCCCCCCGGCCTTTCCCCTCATGAAACATGAAACTCCCCCTCTCCACCTCCCCACCACCCGCCCCCCCCCCCCCCCCCCCCCCGGCCCCCCATCCCTCGGAGTCACCCAAACCCACATGTGTCAAAGGTATTTATGTGGACAGCGTGGCGACAGGCTGGAGCTCAGCTCGTCACCCTGTGGATTCCCTGCGTCAGCAGCAACTCCAACACCAGTGCCCATTGGGCAGTGCAAGCACTGCCCACTGACCAAGCCATTCGGCGCCACGCCTTTGCTTCAAACGGAGTGCTCCTCCCGCGCTTGCACTGCATTGGATGGAAACTGCTGTCGCCGATTCACGTCACGACAGGGAGAACGACCGTTTCGAAATTGGCAGAGAGCAGGCCAGCTGGGGGCTACACCTAGCCCGCGTTAATTTTGCACCCTGAAACTGGGCGGCAGAATATTTGTTTTTGTTTCCACCCTGACCATTTCTGAGTGCGTAGACAGTATCCCCTGGTTCCTACGGCCTAAGCTTGGCAAACTCCACGCGGACAAAAACTTTGAGCACTGCCTAAGCTGACCTCGGGTTTCCTGGTCGGGAAAAACTATTATCGAACAGTAAACGTTTGGTATAGAAATCCAAGCTCAAATTGTTTTTCAGGGGTATCCGGATCTGGTCTTCAGGAGCTGTTTTCGGGGAGTGAATACCCTCTCGGCGGCACGCCCTGTGAAAATACTAGATATGAAAATACCGCGGGCTAGGTGTAACACCTTCATTGTTCAGAGTAGCATAATGCGGTACAGCGGATATGCCATTAAGTCCTCGACATTTTTGTCCAGATACTATCCTACCGTCCATAATTCGGTAGGATCCAGCACGCTATACTCCAAACGTATGGCGTACAACTACTGTAGTGCATACGGTCAACGTCACAAAATGCCCCGTTTGCCAATGAAATTTTTGACGAGGTTCCTTGCGATTTGAGAGTGGCTGGACGAAATTCGCAGATTATTTTCGCAAAATCCAATACCGCCATGTATGCAACTCAGTCGCAATAAACTGGGTCCGCAATCCAGATGGCAACCCAACGGCCAATAAAATATCGCCAGCTGGACAACCAGCAAGCTATGCAGGCACGTGTACTGTGCAAACATTTTTCATCCATTATGTCTTACGATTACGTTCCTATTCAAATCCTCGTGTCAAGAGCATTCGAGGCGTTTTCCATTTTTTAGAACCAATCAAGATACACATAGCCCTCGGTAATTTCATACCCACAAATTGGACGGCAGTATAATTTTTGTTTCCACCCTGACCATTTCTGAATGCGTAGACAGTATTTCCTTGTTCCTACCGCCTAAGCGCGGCAGACTCAACGCGGACAAAACTTTGAGCATTGCCAAAGTTAACGCCGGGTTTCCTGTTTCAAGAAATACTCAATCAATGAGTAAATGTTTTGTATAGAATTCGAAACCACGAATGTTTTTCAAGGGTATCCGGATATCATCTTCAAGAGATTCTTTCAGCGTGTGAATACCCTCTCGACGGCACCCCCATTAAAAATACTAGGTGCCAGAATACCGTGGAATAGGTGTACAGGAACACATAGCAATCATAGCTGCGTGATCGAGCATGTTCGTAGAAGGCATCAGAGGACGCGGAGCGCTTCGGAGTGACGCGAAAATAGTTCGGTGCCGTGCTCGGGCCGAAGCTATAGCAGATGTCGGTGCCGTATGGGGTTGGTATACACGGTAGCGGTGTGACACCCTAAGGAATGGAAAATTCCTTACACTACCCTCGCTCTAGCGAAGGTGGTCTATATTTGCGACGTGCTTGCGGGATAAATCACCCCAGAGTACAGTAGGGAACCCACATCTCGTCTTCGCTAGTACGATGAGTCCATCGTATCATAAAGTCAACGTGTCGTTCGTTACCGTTGATTCGTACGTGATGGCTCAGGATCTTTGCTTCTTCGATAAGCATCTTCTCGGCAGGCCGTAGATCCTAGGCGATCCGCTGTCGGGCGATGTTTGACGTGTCGGCCACAAAAGGACGAAGGAGACTGACGTGGAATGAATGATAAAATTTTTCAATTATCGGGCAGGCGGAGTTGGGCAGTCACTGGCGTAATCATCTTGATGATTTTGAATGGTCTATAGTAGCGGGGTTGGAGTTTTGGCGGCATCTACAGGCGAAGGTTTTTGGTGTCAAGGAGGACTAGTTTCCCTGCAGGCAAGGTCCCGTCTGTGGCGGTCGGCGTATTGGCGGGCAGTGAGATTGGCATTTCGGATAAATTCGATGGCTTTTGTGCGGGCAGTTTGAAGGTCTTCGACGAACTGCTGCGAGCGGGGGATTTGGCTTTCGACATTGGTGAAAATGGGTACTGTCGGATCCATCTCGTAATTCATGAAAAATGGCGAATAATTGGTCATGGCGGAGGGCGCATTGTTGTAGGAAAGTTCGAGCATGGGTAGCAAAACTTCCCATTTGCTGATATGTGGGCAATGCGTGCGAATCAATTGTTCCATGGCCTGATTCGTCCGTTCTGTCTGACCGTCGGTGTGCGGGTGATAGGCGGATGAGACCAGTAGGCGGGTGCCGTATCGGTTCCACGTGTCTTGCAAGAAGCGCGATGTGAATTTTGGGTCTCTGTCACTGATGATCGCCGCAGGGATACCATGTAGGCGAACGACGGCCGAGATGAACAGGCGCACGGTTTCTTCGGCTGTGATCGTTGTACGATATGGCGCGAAGTGAGCCATTTTCGTGAGGCGATTGACGACGACAAAAACTGTGTCGTTTCCATTTAGCCCGGCCAGCAGGCCGGTGACAAAATCCATTGTCACGTGTTCCCAAGGTTGCTGGGGTGGCTCGAGGGGCTGCAACAGTCGTGCTGATCATTGGCGTGATGATTTTGTCGTCTGGCAGGTTTGA